ACAAAAAAAAAAAAAAAAAAAAAAAAAACAAAAGAAGACAAGCAATGAAACTCAGTGACACCACCAACACCACATCTAAAGTAACAATTGTTGGTCACTAGTTTCTATCAACATCAATGGACTCAACTCCCCAATTAAAAGACACAGACTAACAGAATGGTTGCGGAAACAGGATCCATCATTTTGTTGCATCCAAGAAACACACCTATGCAACAAAGATAAACACTATCTCAGAGTAAAGGGCTGGAAAAATGTCTTTCAAGCAAATGGTTCCAGAAAACAAGCGGGAGTAGCCATCCTAATATCTAATAAAATAGACTTTCAACCCAAGTTAATCAAAAAAGATAAGGACGGCCACTATATTCTCAACAAAGGAAAAATCCACCAAGAGGACATCACAATTTTGAATATCTATGCCCCAAATACAAGAGCACCTACATTCATAAATAAAACAATATTAAAGCTTAAATAACACATTGATCCTAAAACCCTAATAGTGGGAGACTTCAGCACTCCACTCTCACCAAGGGACAGATCAACTAGACAGAAAAAAAATAGGGAAATAAAAACACTTACAGAGACCCTAAATCAAATGGACCTAATAGACGTCTACAGATCTTTTCACCCAAACTCAAAAGAGTATACCTTCTTTTCAGCACCGCATGGAACCTTCTCCAAAATAGACCATATAGTTGGTCATAAAGCAAGCCTCAACAGATACAAAAAGATTAAAATAATCCCTTGTATTCTATCTGACCACCATGGACTTAAGCAGGACCTCAACAACAACAGAAATAACAAACAGCCTACACGCACATGGAAACTGAACAACTTATTACTCAACGACAACTGGGTTAAGGAAGAAATAAAGAAAGAAATTAAAGACTTCCTAGAATTCAATGAAAATGAAGGCACAACATACCCAAATTTATGGGACACATTGAAAGCAGTGCTCAGGGGAAAATTTATAGCACTAAGTGCCTGCAAGAAGAAATTTGTAACATCACATACAAACAACTTAATGGCCCAACTGAAAACCCTAGAAAAAAAAGAAGCAGATACACCCAAGAGGAGCAGAAGGCTGGAAATAATCAAACTCAGGGCTGAAATCAATCAATTAGAAACAAATAAAACTATTCAAAGAATCAATGAAACAAAAAGCTGGTTCTTTGAGAAAATAAACAAGATAGACAAACCCTTAGCCAAACTAACTGAAAAGCAGAGAGAATCTATCCAAATTAACAAAATCAGAGATGAAAAGGTTGACATAACTACAGACACAGAGGTGTTGGAGAGATCAGGAATACAAGGCACATATCTAAACATAGTAAAGGCAATATACAGCAAGCCTATAGCCAACATCAAACTCAATGGTGAGAAACTTAAATCAATCCCATTGAAATCAGGGACAAGACAAGACTGCCCACTCTCTCCCTACCTCTTCAACATAGTACTTGAAGTCCTAGCCAGAGCAATAAGACAACTAAAGGAGATCAATTACAAATCGGAAAGGAAGTGGTCAAAGTGTCACTATTAACAGATATTATGATAGTATATATGAGTGACCCCAAGAATTCAACCAGAGAACTCCTCCAGCTGATATACACCTTCAGCAAAGTGGCAGGATACAAAATCAACTCAAAAAAAATCATAAGCCCTCCTGTATACCAAAGACAAAAGGGCCGAGAAAGAAATTAGGGAAACAACACCCTTCACAATAGCCACTAATAACATAAAGTGCCTGGGGTGACTCTAACCAAGCAAGTGAAAGACCTGTTTGAGAAAAACTTCAACTTTCTCTGAAGAAAGAAATTGAAGAAGATCTCAGAAGATGGAAAGATCTCCCGTGCTCATGGATTGGTAGGATTAACATTGTGAAAATGGCCATCCTGCCAAAAGCAATCTACAGATTCAATGCAATTCCCATCAAAATACCAACTCAATTCTTTACAGACCTTGAAAAAAAGATTCTCAGCTTCATATGGAGAAACAAAAACCCAGAATCTCCAAAACAATCCTGTACAACAACAGATCATCTGGAGGTATGTTCATCCCCAATCTCAAGTTGTACTATAGAGTAATAGTAATAAAAACTGCATGGTATTGGCATAAAAACAGAAAGGAGGATCAATGGAACCGCATAGAAGACCCAGAAGTAAACCCACACACCTATGAATACTCGATTTTTGACAAAAAAAAAAGCCAAGATCATTCAATGGAAAAAAGACAGCATCTTCAAAAATTGGTGCTCGTCCAACTGGATGTCCACATGCACAAAAATGAAAATAGATCTATATTTATCACCGTGCACAAAACTAAAGTCCAAGTGGATGAAAGACCTCAACATAAAACCAGATACTCTAAATCTGTTAGAAGAAAAGGTGGGGAACAGCCTAGAACTCATTGGCACAGGAGACAACTTCCTGAACAGAACACCAACAGCATAGGCTCTAAGAGCAACAATCAATAAATGGGACCTCATGAAACTGAAAAGCTTCTGTAAAGCAAAGGACACTGTCATCAAAACAAAATGCCTACTTACAGATTGGGAAAGAATCTTCACTAACCCTTTATCTGACAGAGGACTAATATCGAGTATATACAAAGAACTAAAGAAGCTGAAAAGCAACAAACCAAGTAATCCAATTAAAAAATGGGGAACAGAGCTAAACAGAGAATTCTCGACAGAGGAATATCGAATAGCAGAGAAACACTTAAAGAAATGCTCATCCTCATTAGCCATTAGGGAAATGCAAATCAAAACGACCCTGAGATATCACCTTACACCCATCAGAATGGCCAAGATGAAAAACTCAAGGGACAACACATGCTGGAGAGGTTGTGGAGAAAGGGGAACCCTCCTCCACTGCTGGTGGGAATGTAAACTGATACAACCAATCTGGAAATCTATCTGGCGCTTTCTAAGACAATTAGGAATAGTGCTTCCTCAAGACCCAGCTATACCACTGCTAGGTATATACCCAAAATTTGCTCAAGTACACAAAAGGGATATTTGCTCAACCATGTTTATAACAGCTTTATTTGTAATAGCCAGAACCTGGAAACAACCCAGATGTCCATCAATGGAGGAATGGGTACAGAAATTGTGGTATTTTTACACAATGGAATACTACTCAGCAATCAAATGGAGGAAATCATAAAATTTGCAGGCAAATGGTGGGATCTAGAAAAGATCATCCTGAGTGAAATATCCCAGAAGGAGAAAGACAAACATGGTATATACTCACTTATACAGACCTATTAGATATGATAAACATAATGAAATCTACACACCTAAAAAAGATAATCAAGAGAGCAGGCGTGGGGTAAGATGATCAATCCTCATTTAGAAAGACAGATGGGATGCGCATCGAACATATGACAGGAGTCTACTGAGCGCATTTGGAAGACTCTAAATAGCAGTGTTTTCAAAGCAAAGACTCATGACCAAACCTTTGGCAGAGTACAGGGAATCATAAGAAAGAAGGGGAGTTAGTCTGATGAGGAAAGGATAGGAGCTCCACAAGGACCAAAGATATCTGGGCACAGGGTCTTTTCTGAGACTGACATGCAACCAAGGACCATGTATGAATGTAACCTAGATCCTCTGCTCAGATGTAGCCTGTGGTAGCTCAGTAACCAATTGGTTTCCCATAGTGAGGGGAACAAGGACTATTTCTAACAGGAACTCAATGACTGGCTCTTTGGCCTCCCAACCCCCCAAGGGAGGAGCAGTCCTGTTAGGCCACAGAGGAGAGCTTTGTAGCCAGTCCTGAAGATACCTGATAAAACAGGATCAGATGAATGGGGAGGAGGTCCTCCCTATTAGTGGACTTGGCAAGGGGCAAGGTGGAGATGAGGGAGGGAGGGAGGGACTGGGAGGGAATGAGGGATCGGGACACGGCTGGGATACAGAGTTAATAAAATGTAACTGATAAGAAAAAAATAAAATTAAAAAAAATGTATTAGTGACATAAGTAAAAATCAAAGCCAGTGGTCTTTTAAAATTTACAACTTCTTGAAACAGATGCTTCAGCCTTATGTTACCTTTTCCATATTACAGATATATTTGTCAATATAAAGTTAGTGATGTCATAACGAAGGGAAAAATGAAAATATGCAAATGACGCTTGGTCAGAAATGATGGTAAATACCTGCACATGTAAGGAAGCATCTGACCCAAAATGTCAATAGTAATGCCCTCTAAAATTCATTTTTCAACCATTTCCACTCCATGGATTGAACACAAATGTGTAAAGAAATCAGTTATCCATATGATGGTGGGCGGAGTCTAATCTAGAGGTGAATTTAGAGGAAATTATGGCCTAACAACATTAGCAGTATTTTAAAGGAGACATGAAATGTCAAGAGTCCTTTATTATTATTATTATTATTTTTTTTTTTATTTTTATTTTTATTACTTAAACTTTATTCATTTTGTATCCCCCATAACCCCCTCCCTCCTCCCCTCCCGATCCCACCCTCCCTCTCCTTTCTGCATGCATGCCACTCCCCAAGTCCACTGATAGGGGAGGTTCTCCTTTCCTTTCTGATCTTAGTTTATCAGTTCTCATCAAAAATGTCTGCATTGTCCTCTACTGTGGCCTGGTAAAGCTGCTCCCCCCTCAGGGGGAGGTGATCAAGGAGCAGGCCCATCAGATTATGTCAAGAGTCCTTTTAACAAGAGATTTCACAGCTGGTGCTTTGGGGAGTTTTTGTCTCACTTCCTCCGTGGTTCACATCACTGTGGTGTTTATAGCCACTATCGTAGGATTGACAATAGTAGACAGCCTCATCTTCAGCCTGCACGTTACTGATGGTCAGAGAGGCTGAGTTGGAGGAGCTGTCAATGGAGCCAGAGAACCGATCAGGAATCCCGGATGGTCGCTGATCATCCTTATATATCACAGTAGTGGGGGATCTTCCCTCATGCTGCTGGTACCACTGCACATACTTGCTTCCAATGTTACCACTGCTGCGCTTGCAGGAGAGGCTGACTGTGCTTCCTAGAGGCCCTGACACAGAGTTTGGCTGAGTCAGTTGAAACTGGCCCCATGACCCTGTAAGAAGAAAATAAGTCAGTAAGAACAAGGAAACCCCATTCACAGACAATAGTATGCACCAAACATCCCAAGCAACAGGCAGTTACTCTCCAAGAACTCCTTCCGTCAATTCACCTGTTAAGTAATAAAGGAGGACAAGGAGTAGTGGAGCCAGAGTCATGGTGAAAACACTCAGATTAAGCTTCCCGTGTGATGTGGACAAGCTATAGTTTGGCACTCCTTCTTATCTGTGTGGAATTTTATTTGCATGCTGGCTGTATGCAAATACCCAACTTCCAGTGATGTTCAAGCCCCTCCTTTTATTTCAGACTGTGTCTGACTGACAAATGGAGAGACTGCTTATGAAGAAGATGTGGGCTTCACCAAGGGGCAGGACAGAAAACCTGAAAATGAAGGGAAAACAGGAGAGGAGTGGGAAAATAGGCCATGAGACCCAATGCAACCATATCTTGTTACCTGGTATGTGACTGCTAGGGTCCTAACTGCCAACAGTGAGACCATTTGAAACTCTCATGGCCACTATCTGGAGTTTGAGTGGAGTGTATATTGTCCATTAATATAATTCTGTCAATATCAGCTAAAGCAGTGAGTAACCCAGTTTACTTTTACCTAGAGAATCAGTGCCTGGTTTGAGAAGAACTATCTTCTTTTACTCTAAAAGTCCTGTGGTTATAACTGTGGGCATTTCTAGGTAAGAATTTATTAGAAGTTTTAGTTAAGAGTTTATCTCAGCAGTTAAGAGTGCTTGCTGTTACTGCAGAGTATGTGAGTTTAGTTTGTACCACCCATATCAGACAGATCAGAACCTCTTCTGATTATAGCTCTAGGGGATTGGATGTTCTTTTTTTGGCCTCCTCAGATATGCAGACTCATTTGTTTGCACCCACACATACTTTTTAAAATAACTCTTTTTCTCATAAGTGGGTATTAAACATAATATAGGATAAACATACTAAAACCTGTACACCTAAAGAAGCAAATCAAGAAGGAGGAATCTGGGTAAGATGCTCAATTCTCATTCAGAAAGGCAAAGAGGATGGCCATTAGGAGAGGGAGAAAACAGGGAACAGGACAGGAGTCTACCACAGAGGGCCTCTGAAAGACTCTAACCTGCAGGGTGTCAAAGCAGATGCTGAGACACATAGCCAAACTTTGGGCAGATTGCAGGGAATCTTAGGAAAGAAGGGGAGATAGAAATACCTGGTAGGAACAGGAATGCCACAAAGCAGAGCAACAGAACCAAAAATCTGAGCACAGGGGTCTTTCCTGAGACTGATACTTCAACCAAGGACTATGCCTGGAGATAACCTAGAACCACTGCACAGATGTAGCCAATGGCAGTTCAGTGTCCAAGTGGGTTCCCTAGTAATGGGAACAGGGACTGCCTCTGACATAAACTGATTGGCCTGCTCTTTGCTCCCCCTCAGGGGGTTGCAGCCTTGCCAGGCCACAGAAGAAGACCATGCAGCCACTCCTAATAAGACCTATAGACTAGGATCAGATGGAAGGGGAGGAGGACCTCCCCTATAAGTGGACTGTGGGAGGGGGATGAGTGGAGGAGAGAGAGGGAGAGTGGGATTGGGAAGGTAAAAGGGAGGGAGCTATAGGTGAGATACAAATTGAATAAACTGTAAATAATAAAAAAAGAATAAAGAGGAGCTTAAATATAACTGACAAAATTGGAAAGGTATCTGTTGTCGCCAAGCAAGATTTGGGAGGAAAAAAAAATATTTGTAACTGGCAATCATTAAATTGAAAGATTGCTCTACAAAAATGTATGATGAAAACACTATAAATTCTTTTTCATTCCTAAAGTATGAATAGATTAAAACTTTTATTCCTATTGTAGTTAAAAATATTTCATCACTCTTAATTCAGAGTCCTGAATTATATACTTTATTAAATTCTATTTACACACTGAACAAAAATCCAGCTTAGCTTCTGATTAAATACATTTTGTGTATAAAAATTTGATAATGAGTGTCACGGACTAAGGCTTGAATGAAGACTATATAATTGAAGTTTGTAAAAGTACAGAATTTCAAAATGTATACAAAATTCTGAAAAGAAAATAGAAACATTAAAATATCACTTACATATGTTATAAAGTAATGTCATCAATTTAAAATCTGATAATAACTAAGCAAAATATTACACTTAACAGCAGGAATATATCCTGGAAATATATCTGTGATATCCACACAGGCCATTTATGACACACCCCAACACAATGGGGCAGGAAAAAAAATCCCCTTTGTGAAATTCTAAGCAGGAACTGGAAAAAACATTAAATAGTTTGCAAACATTTTGAAGACTACATCACAGCAGGAGTCAGCCGGAATGTCAAAGCACTAAGCAGTACGTTGCTGTCTACCTCTTCAGTGGTACTAGCAATTAGGCCCTGGTTCATCTTTAGAAGACCATGTTCATGTGTGCTGTGATGGTAGACTTAAGTGGCATTCAGCACCATGGCATGGTGTTCAGTGATTGCATAATTTTCTCATATTTTTCAGATACATGGTGCTGAAAACTCAAAAGTTATGCACCCAGATGGCACTTCAGATTCATGCGCCAGATCATTGTAATTCTTCTCTTTCTGAATGTTTAGTGATGTCATGCTATAAAGACTATAAAACTGTATTCTGATCGCTCCTAATGGTTACAATGAATAACTATCAGCTTAATGTAGAATATAGTTGTTTATAATCTGAGTAAAACTTTTTTTTCGTTCACCAATGAGGTAGACTTGTAATGTAGTAACATGCCAGTGATGTTTCATTTTAAATTTCATAATTACGTTAAGAAAGAAAATGATTAAGGTTGCTTCATATATGTGTTATATTATAAATTGTATGTAGACGTCATATATATGACTGATGCAAGCACATACACACACACACACACACACACACACACACACACAGTCAATATATAGACTGACTACCATCTGCCACTTATTAGGTTGGAAGAAACAGTGAAAATGAAAAGCTGAAATCTCCATCTTGCATTCTAAAGGAATTGCTGTTCTATCAGTTGAGAATTTATAGCATTGGAAGAATAAAGCAATTGAAAAGAAACTATCAAATTATATATGTTGAGGTTACGTTATTAAAATGGAAAACATTTAATTTCTGAGTCACTTTTCTATGCTAAATACATACTGTCCAAGAAGTTATGACATTTTTTTTTTGTTTCTAAAATATTTTCCTGGACAATGACCCCATCCATATGAACGAGGAAGTATAAATCAGAATTGTAAGTTTACTTCTCATGTGGCCAATGGGACCTAGGAGCAGGTTCCCAACATAGCTCTTGGGTAACAGTCCTCAATGGCATCACTACCTGTGCAAGTGTGGGACAGGATGTAGTGATTTCTAAATGACTTGGTCTTGTCAGCAGCTTTGTCTTCTCAAGTGCAGCCCATCACTGCCCCCTAATGGGCATGGGAATTGCTATGAGAAGTGCTGGCAGGAGGGTGGTGGTGAAACTATCTCTGCCAGGGAAGGAATTGTAGATGGACTAAAGGAACACAGGCAGGCAAGGAAAGCAAAACCAGGCTTCCTGAGATGGCCTCTTCCTGTTTCAGGAAAACTCTGAAGAGAAATAGCTAAAAGATACAGGCAGCACGGAGTATTAACACAGAACCAACATTGACAAGGGGAGGATGTAGGAGCCCTATAACTTATCCAAGCCAACATCTAGTATCTGTGTAACTGACTCCTGCCTTTTCTCATTCTGAATGAATAAAGCTGTTACTTTCAGCTTCTTCACTAGTTGGCTTTCTGTATCTCCCAGTCATTCAGAGTTTTCCTCGAAGCAGAAAATAAACTTGCCAATTCCCTAAATACTTTCCAACACCCCAGTTACATTTCTTGGGGTCTCTCCTCTAGGATTAGACACGACTTTTCTCAAGGTGATATGCCTAAATGAAAATCACAGAAAAGAACTTGGAATTAAGCCATGACCCAAAAGGCACTCGAAGGCTAACTTCCACACTAAGTGAGACTTCGCCACAAGTACATGGCTCACAGATATGGCAGTTTCCTGTTTCCAGAAGACTCTGTGAGGAGAAACTGCATTGAAAGCACAGATGTGGGTTTCTAGACAGGACAAATATGAGAAAAAGCAGGATCCTGGATCCCTATAAAATACCCAAACAGCGTATGTTTACCAGACCTCCAGCCTCAGGCTACTCTTTACCTGAATGTCCAAAGCTGTTAAATTTCCTTTTTTGTGGCTAGGAATATGTCCTTTCTAGGCATTTGATACTTTGTCTTTGACAGGAAATGGACTCAAAAATTCTATAGACAGGTAACACACCTGTGTTAAAGGAATGACAACCAAAAGGAAACTAGGTTATTGCTCTGTGATTAGATGGCCAGATGGTGATGTGCTGCTTAACAACTCAGATTGCTTATGTCACGTGCCTGAGGACATATGGCCAGTTAATCTGTCATCTATTTACCTCAAAGAAAGTATCATTTAATACAGTGACTCTCAACTGGTGGGTCGTATATCAGATATCTGGCATATCAGATATTTACATTATGATTCATACCGGTAGCATCAAAGTAATTTTATAATCACCACAACATGAGGAACCATAGTAAAGGGTCACAGGCTTAGGGAGAACAAGAACCTGTTGAGATAGACATATTTATCATTGAATATTATAATGGTTGAGAACAGGAAATCTTTAGGGTGGTCATCACTATCATAGATGCTCTTTTTATCACAATGAAATGATAAAACAAAGTATCTGTCATGCGCATTCTTGCATGAAAAAACAGAAAGAATAAAAGCATATGTGAATGTTTGCATCTGAAGGTGGATTTGGGAACAGTCAAGAACACATAGTCAAAGCCACCATCTTCTGTGTTTATGAGGTGATATCTGTCTCCCTCTCTTCCACAAACCTGGAAATAGATGTGAAAACAACAAATATTTTGACAGTTGGAAAGAAAAAATGATTCAAGAATATTTTTTCTTTTGTTGGAAACATTTTTATTACAATATATCCAAATTAGTTTTCTCTCCCCCACCCAATTCCTCCCATTTTCTCCTCAATTTCCTTCCCTTCTGGATCTACATCCTTCCTGTCTCTCATTAGAAAACAAATACTGACTTAAGAAATGAAAATTAAATAAAAAAGAAAATATAATTACATAAAACAAACAGGGAATAGGAA